AATCTAAAAATCAAGTGAATAAATAATCTGATGAACAGAATAAACTGGTGATTATAATAGAATCAGGGGCATAGAAAGGGAGTGGACTGACTATTCTTGGGGGGGAAAGGGGTGTGGGGGATGTAGTAAGAGATTGAACAAAAATCGTGCCCCTATGGATGAGGCCAGTGGGGAGGGGTGGTGAGGGCGGAGGGTGGGGTGGGAAACGGGTGGAGGGGAGCTATGGGGGGACAAAGAGGAACAACTGTAATAATCTGAACAATAAAGATTTAATAAAAAAAATAAAATGTCAAGGTGTGCCCTAACTGGTTTGGCTCAGTGGATAGAGCGTGGGCCTGCGGACTGAAGGGTCCCAGGTTCGATTCCGGTCAAGGGCATGTACCTTGGTTGCAGACACATCCCCAGTAGGGGGTGTGCAGGAGGCAGCTGATCGATGTTTCTCACTCATCGATGTTTCTAACTCTCTATCCCTCTCCCCTCCTCTCTGTAAAAAAATCAATAAAATACATAAAAAAAATGTCGAGGTGTGACGACCTTATTCTTGGCCCACTAACGGGTCATGAGCTGCTGCTTGGCATGACCGCTGCGTGTCCCGTCCGCAGGCTGGTCGACTGTGGCATCACGGAGGGGCGCTGCAAGGATGTGAGCTCCGCGCTCCGGGACAACCTCGCCCTGACCGAGCTCAGCCTCTCCTCCAACGAGCTCGGCGATGCCGGCATACACCTGGTGCTCCAGGGCCTGCAGCCCACCTGCAAGATCCAGAAGCTCAGGTGAGCTCATGTGGCGGCAGCCACACGCTGGGGCCTGGGGCTCCCCCTGCTCCTGAGGGAGGTGCACAGTGACCCACTCCTGCCCCGAAGGAGGCGCATCTCAGGCCTCTCTCCCCCGTCCGATGCTCCCCCTCCTGCCCTGGGCCTGGGATTTGCGCCCCACTCCCAGCAAGGAGCCAGCCTGGCAGCGCAGCATAAGCCCCTGCGATGGGCGTGGCCTCCCTGTGGCGGGCGTGGCCTCCCTGTGATGGACATGCTCTCCCACAGCCTCCAGAGCTGCAACCTGTCCGAGGCGGGCTGCGGGGCCCTGTCCAGCGTGCTGCGCTCCCTGCCCTCCCTCCGCGAGCTGGACCTCAGCTACAACCAGCTGAGGGACGCGGGCCTGCAGCTGCTCTGCGAGGGGCTCCTGGACCCCCAGTGCCACATCGAGAGGCTGCAGTGAGTGCCGGCCGGTCCCTGACGCCCGCTCCCCTGCCTGGTCACCGCAGCCCCACACCCGCTGTCACTTGGCTTCGCCCACATGTCGGCGCAGGGAGGTCCGAGGAGGGGCTCTTGGGGCACATGTCCCGTGACTGGGCTGTGACCGTGCACTTGCCCGTGTGGCGGGCGGCGTGGCACTGTACCGCGCGGATGGGCTCAGCGATGGGGGAGGCTGGGCGTGTTGCTCCGGGTCCAGGACTCCTGAGCTCGGGTACCTGTGCCGGTGGGTGGTCTCCAGAGGGAGGAGATGTTCCCGGGGGAGGGCTGACCGCCCGCCTGTCCCCAGTCTGGAGTACGGCAACCTGACGGCCGCCAGCTGCGAGCCCCTGGCCTCGGTGCTCAGGGCCAAGCGGGAGTTGAAGGAGCTGGCGGTGAGCAACAATGACATCGGCGAGGCTGGCGCCCGGACGCTGTTCCAGGGCCTGGCCGACTCCACCTGCCCGCTGGAGGCAATCCGGTAAGCGCTGGGCTGGCGGTGGGAAGCAGGGCTGGTGGTGTCTGCAGCTGCCTCAGTGCTTCCTGTGCCCCAGGCTGGAGGGCTGTGGCCTCACCGCGGCCAACTGTCAGGACCTGTGTGGCATCGTGGCCGCCAAGGCCTCGCTGAACGAGCTGCAGCTGGGCAACAACAAGCTGGGGGACGCGGGCATCGCGGAGCTGTGCCCTGGGCTGCTGAGCCCCAGCTCCAGGCTCAAGACCCTGTGGTGAGTTGGAGGCTGGGCAGAGGGCCATGGGGTCCAGGTAGCTCTGCACAGGCGTTGGGCTGGCCAGGTGGGGCGGGGAATGCCCCTGGGTGGCCCTGCTGTGACGTGTCCCTGCCTCTGCAGGCTCTGGGAGTGTGACTTCACGGCCAGTGGCTGCAAGGACCTCTGCCGGGTGCTCACAGCCAAGGAGAGCCTGAAGGAGCTCAGTGTGGCTGGCAACGAGGTGGGGGACGAGGGCGCGCGGCTGCTGTGTGAGAGCCTGCAGGAGCCCAGCTGCCGGCTGGAGTCCTTGTGGTGAGTGCCGGCCGGTGCAGGGAGGAGCCGCCTGAGGGACACTGCTGGGGGCTGAGGACCAGGACCCGCTGCCGCCCGCGGGGGAGAGGCAGGCCTGTCAGGTCCATGGAGGTGGGAAGGCGCTGAGATTCTCTGGGCGGGATATGGGGAACCCCCGGGTGCCCAAGGGCCTGGGCTGCAGTCGTCCTCCATGTCCCCAGGTTGAAGTCCTGCGGCCTCACAGTCGCCTGCTGCCCGCACGTGAGTGCGATGCTGGCCCAGAACCGGAGCCTCCAGGAGCTGGAGATGAGCAACAACAACTTGGGGGACGAGGGCATGGAGCTGCTGTGCCAGGGCCTGCGCCAGCCGGGCGTGACCCTGCGGATGCTCTCGTGAGCGGGCGTGTGTGTGTGTGTGGGGGGGTAGAGGGGGGCAGCACGCCGGTGGGGCCCCATCATCGTCCTCCCTCACAGAGGAGCCCCTTGTCCCGTCCTGGGCTGTCCTCCCCGGGTCCTGCTTGGGCTGGGCCGGGCCTGGGTTATGCTCACAGCGTCAGGCCTCGGAGGGCTGCTTGTTTCCGACGGGCGCTCAGGAACCCGTCAGGTCTCAGGGCCCACCCTGCCTTTCCCTCCCCTGCATCTTTCCTTTTCTGTCCGTCACAAGTTTCGTCTTTGTTCTCTGCGTCCAGCTTGTGCTTCCCTGGGGACGGCTCTGGCCTTGGGGTCTTGATGAGGGACGGACCGTTTCAGGGCTCCGGGGCTCAGCGGTGTGTGGACCCCCGCTGGCCCACGTGGTCGTGGTGGCGCAGGCCCAGGTCACTCAGCCAGTCAGCGGCAGCCTGGGGGTGTGCCTTTATCCTGACCTCTGCCCTGCTGTCCGCCCAGGGTGGGGGACTGCGAGGTGACGGACCAGGGCTGCACTAGCCTGGCTGCCCTGCTGCTGGCCAACCACAGCCTGCTCGAGCTGGACCTCAGCAACAACTGCATGACCGAGGTGGGCGTCATGAAGGTGGCCGAGAGCGCCCAGCAGCCCAGCTGCCCCCTGGAGAAGCTGGTGTAAGTGATGGGCGGACGGGGGCCAGGGCTGCTGGCTCAGCCAGACCAGGGAGGATGCGGGGGGTGGGGGGGGGTGCCCTGGCTGTGCCCCGGCCCACACCCTCCCTGCCCCTGCACAGCCTGTACGACATCTACTGGAGGGAGGACACGCAGGACCTCCTGCAGGCCATAGAGGAGAAGAAGCCGAGCCTGAAGATCATCTACTGAGCCCCGGCCCCTGCCCCTGCCCCAGCGGTCGAGGGGCTGGCCAGCTCTCGGGGTCACTCCTGGTGCCTTAGCCATAACTGAAGGGAAATGCTCAAACCAGCTTCTGTAAACATTCTGGACACTTTATAATTATTAAAATGTTTTGGGTAGAAGGTCCTGAAGGTCCTTTGTCCTTCCTTGTGGGTCCCTGAGGTTCTGCATCGCAGGTGATGCTTTTATGAACGCTGTCTTGCTGCTCAAGAGACCACCCCAGATTTGGCAGCTAAAACACGTGTCTTACAGGCCCTGGCCCGGTGCGTCCCAGGGGACCTGCTCCCTGTGGCCCTGGCAGCCACCCCACAGCCCCTGCCTCAGGGCCTGAGAGGACAGCAGGTCTGCCCCGGGAGCCAAGTCCTCCCGTACTGGGGGCACCAGAATGTGCTCTCGCCTCAGAGGCCTGGCTACGGGCCAGCACACTGCTGGAACCAGCGCGCTCTCCTGACAGCTCTCAGCCCCCTGGATGGAGGGCAGGGTGCACCCTCGTGCCTGGCAGGCTTCACCTGCCAGCACAGGGCAACCTGCTCTGACTGGCACAGTCAGGAGGCATCTGGCCACAGCAGCTGAGTCAGCACCCACACTTGGTACAGGAGAGCCTGGGGCTGCCCAGAGGCCCAGCCAGGACAAGGGGAGCTCGGCCACCACCCACGGGGACAGCAGAGCGAGGAGGGAGGCTGGGACCTAGAGGAGTGACCATGGACACAGCACCATCGCACCTGCTGTGACGCGGCTCAGCCTCAGGGACACGCACTGGGGGTGGAGCTGGGGACAAGTGCAGAGCCAGCCTGGGGGCTGGGGGCTGGGGCGGGCACTCCACAGCAGAGCCAGCCAATCCTGGACACTTCTGAAGTGTGGCAGCCTATGGCCGCAGGGGCTCCACCAGCAACAGGGCGCTCGCAGGGACAAGGTTCAGGGGAGGGGCAGCTGGGGGCGCACGGTGCTCACAGCCCTTTCTCAGCCTCTCAGCCACACCCCCCAAAGGAGTTGACAATGAAGCAACTAAGGAACCTCCCTCCTCAGCAGATGCGCTTCGCTCCCCGCCAGGGTCCAGCGCCCCCACCCCCCACCCAGAACCAGCACAGGCCGTCCCCCATGCAGGCACCGCCATGGGCACAAACACGGCAGAGCGGGTGACCCCTGTGCCCAGGCCGGCAGCCCTGCCACTGGACTCCTGCCCCTCCGAGCGATGACCCCAGGGAGGGGGCGTGGGGTCAGCGAGGACACAAGCTCAGACCATCGCCATTTATTTGTTCTGTCTGCTCGTGGAGATGACCAACTTGGGGCCAGAGACCCAGGACCCCTCCTTCCAACCTTGGGCACAGGGCTGAGGGTCTGGCCCCGCCCCCCACGCCCTCTGCGTCAGCTGGGCTGGTGGAAGGCTCCGAGGAAACGGCTCAGGGCTGCAGCTCGGATCTGCCCGTCTCGGCCACCTCAGGAGCTGGTGGGCCACCCTCAGGAACACGTGGGGTGCGGGGTGGAGGGGGCTGGTGGGGATCAGGGCCTGGCCCTCTAGGCGCCAGGGCTCGGTGTGGCCCAGAGGCCTGTGGGCAGACCAACAGAAAGGGGACCGCTGCCCAGGGCGCGCCCCAGCCACACCGCCGCTGAGAAGCCAGGAGCCCAGAGCCCACGAAGTGCACACATGTGCACACATGCCACCCGCACACCAGCCCTGTGGGCCGGGCCTCCTCCATGCCCCGCCGAGCCTCGCTGTTGCTGGGGAAGAGGGAGGCCTGTCGGAGGCTCCTGACAGGAATCGGAGGAGGAAGGGACACAACCTGTGTCCTGGCGGGTGTGGGGAGCAGGTCAGTTCAGAGCCGGTGCCCCCTCCCGCTCAGCCTCCAGGGGCCCTGAGGGGCTGTCCGGCCCAGACGGGTGCCTGTCCGCGTGGCCAACAGTGTTGCCCTGGTCACTGCTGCTCTGCTGCTTCTGCCGCCGGGTCTCCTTGTACCGCAGGGTGATGTCCCTGGGGGCAGTAGGGCGGGTCAGGGCCTGCAGAGGCCCCAGGGCCTGCCCTGCACGGCTGAGCGGGGCGGACAGAGCCACACAGGACCCGACCGTTGCACCCACCCGGGACGGGCCTCACCGCAGGAAGAAGCGCCAGACGGTCCAGGTGAGCACCAGCACGGAGCCGAGCGTCCAGCACTGGGCGATGTAGAAGGGCAGGGACAGCGTCAGCGTCTGCGGGTCGTACTTGACCACGATGAGCAGCTCCGTGGCCGTGATGGCGGCCACCAGCCAGGCCTGCTGGCCCAGCTTCTTGTGTGGCTTCCTGCAGGGGGAGGCACGCGTTTGA